TATTCTAAGGCTACAAAAATTACAGTGAACACGTAATAATATAATAAAGCTACTATAAATTTTAGGATTTTTGCTATCACAATCTATCCCAAAAATTCCTACAATTATTAATCGAAATAATACTAAGCATCTCAACTATTTTAATGCTCCTTAGCAACCACATAGATATGTATGAACTAACTATACTAATAGGTAGACAATATTTTTGGAACTTAACAAAATTAGTTTCATAATTTTTAGATATCTATATTATTTTATATTAATTACCAAAGTTCAGCTTAAAATTAAAATGAAAACTACTTCGATTTTCCACGAAAAAATAAATCGATTTCGGCCCAACGCGGCCCATGCGTGGAGGTGGCCCGCGGCGGGGAGCACCGCGCACGCTGGCACTCTTGCAAAAACGCCCCCGCGTTATCAGACAATAGCACGAACACTACACGTACTATTTCTATAGACAACGACTTTGGAACGGAGCCCTCGTATCTTTTCACCTTCGCACCAGAGAGGCCCCCGAGACGCCCCGCTCTCGCCGGCGTGGCGGACGGTGGCACTAGGTGGTACGTCGGCCACTCGAGGCTCGCACCGACCCAACTAACGAGCCAAACCCCATCTACGACCCCAACGCCTAGCCTAAGCGGTGATATGGAGCAACAGGCGCACTAGAGTGAGGTGCCACCGCGCGCGGTCACCCACGACGGCGCCGTGGTCATCCCGGCGAGCTACAACACTAACAGGATGGTAGAGATAGGGGATATGCACCTGGGGCACACCGCGAACCCGGCCGAAGTGGTGGTTCGGTCGGTGACTACCTGAGCAGGGCTAGCCACGTGCGTGCGACGAGCATGGCGACGAACCGCGACGTACACGGCCACGTCAGCGGCGGCGGGGAGGCGGTAGCACTCCCATTGGTGTGTGCATGGTGGAGAGGGAGCTAAGGCAAACTAGTGGTGCAGAAGAATTTGCGTGGGGTGAAGTGGTGGAGGCTGGCCATGGCACAGGCGGTGATGGATCTTAACGGCGCGGTGGCGGGGCGAAGCTCCAAATTTGAGGCTCGGCTGAGCCACAATCAAAGCGGGGTGCAGGCGGCTAGAGAGGGGACATGATGACAGAGGCACGAACAAGAGGGATTGATGAGAGGTGACCCCTCGCAGCTGTAGCGCTGGTGCGATTCGATGGTAGCAGGGAGACGAGAACAAAGAGAGAGAGCGAGGGAGCGGTGGGGGAGGGGCAGCCAGCGACTCTGAAAGGGCATGCCTTGGCGAAACATGGTTGGCACGACCGACGCAGCCCGCGGCGAGGCACTTGCCGATAGACACACACGTTCGCGATCGGCGTGGCCCGCGCACCATAGTGCCATCAATGGCATGGTGACGGCGACACGGCCACGTACGCGCAGCGCAGCTATAGGCGTGCAGCGTGGTGATGCGACGGTGGTGGCAGTGGTGTCATCGCGGCATGGGCGTAGAGGCAGTAGCAGCACCAGCGGCAGCCATGGTGGCAGGGGCAGTCGGGCGTAGAGCGGACCGGCGGCCTAGCGGTGCGGCCAAGCCACGACAAGGCCATGACGGCCACAGCCAGCCGGTGCGCGGCCACACATGGGCACGTCACAACCGCGCGGCGACACGGGTCAGCCATGCGTGGTGACCACACGCACGGCGCGCAGACAGCACAAAATTGTGACGTGTACGAATTTTAGAGCGCTAATCACGACCAAACCGTTGCTCCTAAAACTAAACCGGCTTCACTACACTCAAGATGGCATATGGAACTACTAAATCGAATCATAGCACTACACCACTCCTTAACCCAATCTCTCCAAATAAATTGCTAAACATAGCAACGTCTAGCTGTCCACAGACTTAGAAATTTTCTAAGCGTTTGAGCTAATCTTAATTTCAAATTGCATTTCTAAGCTACTAAAAATATTACTTAGCAATATTCTTTTTTAACAGCAAGTATTTCATTGTCATCTACAAAGTTTGCACTTCCAACTTTATTTAAGTATCACACACATGTTCTATAGTATTTTTGCTTAATAAAAATTGGTTTTAAACCCTACTTGATATGCATGAACCATCGAACCAACTTTCGTTTAGCATTTTATTGATCATTTTGAGTTATAGAAATTGATCTACACACTTCACCACATGCATTAACACACAAGTATGATGCTCATGACATGTTTTAGTAGATGATTAACGGGGTAACACCGAGGGTGTTACACAGCTGCCCGATGCTGACGATGCTTGAATGCAGCTGCGGGATGTAGTACACATCCATCAGCGCACGGTGCTCACCGTTCTGGCACCTGAAGATGATGGTGCCATGCCCGCGGATCGCCACCCTTGAGCCGTCACCGAACTTCACCATGCCGGTCACCTTACCGTCGAGCTCTGAGAAGTCTTTCTTGGAGCCCGTCATGTGGTTGCTGGTGCCGGAGTTCAGGTACCACCGCTACTCCTGTTCGCCGCCCACACGTTTGAGGTGGACTTGGGCGCGTGGTTCGTCGAGGTTGACAGCCTTCAGAGCCTTGCCATGCCCTTTCATCGCCATCACCTCTCCCTTCTCCTTGTCCTCAACATCGTGCAGTGCACAGAACATCACCATCAGGAGAGTGGCCTCATCATCCTCATTAGCCTACGCTAAATGAGCCTCTGTCTTCTTCTCCTGCTTGCGGTTTGGGCACTCCTTTGCCCAATGGCCTATCTTTCCACAGCGCCGGCAGGCGTTGGGGTTGACCTTCTTCTTCTTCTTCTTCTCCGAAGAAGCCTTGTCGCAGTGTTTGTCATCGCCACTGCGACTGAAGGAGGCTTCCCTGAATTTCTTTCGGGCAGCCCACTCCTCTGTCAGCAACAGCTTGCCGTTGTCCGTCGTTGCTGTGACCTGCTCCATGCGCTTGTCCACCACCGGTAGACGGCCTGTCACATTCTCAATGGTGAGGGTGGATAAATCCAGCATCGTCTCTATAGAGAGAGTGATCTGGATGTACTTCACCAGCATGGAGTGGAGGTACTTGGAGACCGTCTCTTCTTCATCGATGGAGACACCGTGGCTCCTCAGCTTGCTGATGAGCGACTGCAGGCGGAGGGAGAAGTCCTCCATCGACTCACCATCCTTGAACTTGAGGGTGGCGTACTCCTGCTTCAGTAGTTGGGCCGTCGCCTTCTTTGCGCGGTCGGAGCTATTGCACACCGCTGCAATGGTCTCCCATGCCTCCTTAGCAAAGTTCTTCGCCCCCAACGGCTCCCTGTACTCCGCTGGCACAGCAGCGAGGATAGCCTCCAACGCTGACATGTCATCTTCTTCGTTGTCGGTGCCCTTGTCAATGGCATTTCAGAACCGTTGGGCTTTGAGCTTGACCTTCATGGTCACTGTCCACTCACCATAGTTGGTGCAAGTCAGCGTCGGTCAACTGGTGCATATCTAACCAAAGAGACCGATGAGCAGTTTGGTCGCTGGGGGCAAAGAGTGGCGACTTTCTTGGCAAGACCAGACCGACTAGGCGAGCAAGCCATTCATTCACCTAGGGACGGATCGAGTGTAGGCAAGCAGGAACCCTAGCGCCGATGAGAACCCTAGCAAGAACCCTAGCGCCGGGTAGAGAATGGGGCAAGCAAGAACCCTAGCAACGAGAAGGCGGCGGAGAGCGCGGACGTTCGATGGGAAGCGGTCGCCGTCGCCTCGTGTCGCGCTGTCGCGTCCCCTCGCGATGCCCCGCGCTGTCGCCTCGTGCCGCAGCGTCGCGAATCGCGAGTCACGTGCCGCGCCGTCGCCAGGATAGGTTCTGGATGTAGGAGGGTCCTCCGTTCCGGGCCAAAGAGGGTGGGAAAAGGCCCGGATTGACCGGTTTGCATTCCGGGCTGTATATAACCGAAATGGCCATTTTTTATCCGGCCTGTCTTCAAACCGGGCCTATTCGATCCGGACGGATCATGCCGCGATCCGGGCCGTTCCGGGCCAAAACGAACAAGCCCTAAGGTTACGATTCAAGGCTTGCTGACTCTAGGCAAGGGTACGATTGAATTTGTTACTGCCGCCTGCTTGCTGGTGCTATACTCATTTACTCCTACTGGTATGAGCAACGCTACTGGTATTCACATTTACTGCGTTCATCAGGGACAGAATTAGATACAGCTAGTAGCTTTTAAAGCGGCCCAAGGGGCCAGGGCCAGTACACTATACTTGGTCAATCTGTTCAGTAACATTTCGTGTTTACTCCATTCCTAAACCTCAGCTCGCTCATCGGCGTGTATATTAACTGAAGTATCGTTGCTGCGGTGAATGGTGATCGACTGCTCATAGTACTAGCATGTATCACTGATCGAAAGTGAGCTCCATCGATCGCCCTGATGGAACCTCATTTCCTACATGTGTGTATCATGCATATACACGCTACGCTAGCTCCAATGCACGCAGTAGTCCATCGTCGGCACGGCGACCTGTGATTAATGGCTCAACCACCTTGCTTCGAATGAGGGCAAAGGAGACGACCAAGAAAGGCGCGACAGAGCTCGCGCCACCCTCTACATTTCAAGCAGGCAGATATATACCCCTACTCCTATGAACAACGATCGAAGGCGAAGGCGATCAATTTTTATTAATGGGACGTGCTTTGATCGATCCTTGGATGTTTTCCCGCTATAACCCTCTCCGTGACATGATCACCATGATCCTATCCGCTTCCCGGTCACGAATTGAATGCGGTCGCATCCACAGCCCCAACGGAAAGTTGAATCGCCGTATCGTATTTAATGGTGGTTTCCAGTCCAAGTCTGTAGCTACCCGCTTTCGGCCGGAGCCGGAATGCTGGATGGATTGAGGAACTCGACGCGGCTCCAGGCGGAAGCTGGCATCCAACGGGGAAAGGGAAACTTTTTATTAACCAACAGGCGGCAGGCGACGCCGGCGGAGGCGGAGCGCTAGCTGATCGATCTGACGCCTGACTGGAGAGAGCGAGCGAGGTTAATGCGCGCGCTGCTGCTAGCTAGCTAGCCTTGATGGCGAGCTTAAAACGATGGTTAACCGCAAAAGCCCATGCAGCGTTAAGAAGCATGTGAGGGCGGAGAGCGATGCGAGGCGAGGCGGATGGAGAGATAGAGGAGGAGGAGGACGGCGCAGCAGTAATGGCAATGCCGCGCCCACGCGGGGAGATCGAGCCGGTGACCGAGCCCAACCTCGCCCCACCTCGTCGGGCGCCCGGCCAGCGAGGGGCTGGCCAGGCCGGCCGGCCCCGGAGCCGGATGGCACGCAAACGCAATTAATCGAGATGGCTGGAATGCGATGCGGTGCAGGCGGAGCGGAGCGGGCCAGCGGCCGGCCGGCCTGACTCGACCCTGACCCGACCTGATCAGCAGTAAGTGTAAGTAGCTGTGGGAACATCTCGTGGGCCCGGTCGCAGTGTCCCCCCTTTTAAGATCCTGGCTACCGCTTCTGTGCTCATAAATTTCTGGCCCCCGTCGACGTCGAGCGTCAGCCTCAGCGGCTGAACCCACTTCGCTTCTCCTTCTCCTCCCTATATAAACCCCGATCCCTCGCTGCGCCCGAATCCAAACCCAGCGCCCCCAGCCCCCCACACGCATCGCATACATCACCAGGAGAGGAGAAGGAGGTCCGCGACCGGCCCGACCAAGCCAAGTACGCTACTACCACTCCTGCGCCGCAGCCGCACCGACCGCGAGGGTGCAACGACGACATACTCCTATATCCGCTGATCCGCCCCAAGCCGAACGTACGTACACGTGTAGAGAATCATATATAGGCTATAGCACTATAGCAGTAGCAGATCGACGATCGATGGTGTCGCTGCAGTCCTCGGCGCTGCTGCCGGAGAATACCAAGCGCCCGCCGTGGCTCTCTCCTCGTCGGCAGCGTCGTCGCCTCCTCCACGGGCACCGGTGATGCGGCCACCAGCAAGAAGCGGAAGCGGGACGACGGCGGCGGCGGCGACGACGACCGCGGCGAGGTCGTGGACGGGATCGAGCTCAATTTCGACGCCGCGCCGCTGCCCCCAGAGTGGCAACGCTGCCTCGACATCAAGGTACGTGTCTTATCGCACGCAGGCCCTTGGGTCTAGTCTATCCCGTCCGTGTCGATCGACTCCATCGAGCAGCGCCGTGTACGCACTGCACGTACGTGTGTTTTGTTCTGAACCCGTGTCTTGGTGTGCATGCAGTCGGGGCAGATCAACTACTACAACACGAGGACGCAGAAGCGGACGTGGAAGGACCCCAGGGGGGAGCCGGACTACCGCGCCGCGCCCGCCTCCGCCGAAGACGACGAGGAAGAGGAGGACTCCGCGAATTGCGCGCCGCCAGGGCTGGACCTGGAGCTGAACCTCACGTTCGAGCCGCGCCGGGCGCTCGCCCACGAGAAGAAGAAGCCCAAGCCTGCGGCGGCGGCGGCGGCTACTAAGGCGGCAGACGATCATCGCGGTCTTCAGCTGGCCGCGGAGGAGGCCGAGGACAGCAGCAGTAGCGGCAGAAGGGAGATGGTGGCCGGCGTGTGCGTGCGGTGCCACATGCTGGTGATGATGTGCCGCGCCAGCCCGGCGTGCCCCAACTGCAAGTTCCTGCACCCACCCGCCAGCCGCGCCGCGCCGCCACCGGAGGCTGAGCCGCCGGTGCCACTCAAGCTCGGCCTCCAGCTGCTCTGCTGCAGGGACTAGTAGATAGCTAGCTAAGCTACGTACCTACCAGCGTCGATCGATCAAATTAAATTAAATGGGAGCGTCCGACCGACCCATGGCCACAGATGACAGATGGAGGATGGATGGTTCTATACCGTGCTCCCTAGGCACGCGTGCACCAGTAGAGCGCACGTGTGTCGCACGTGCAATGAGGGGTATATCATATATCATATTAGTATTATTCATATATGGCGATGAATGGTGATGTAGATATAGCATAAATGTAGCTTGGAACTTTCGGTGTCTGTCACTTGTCCGTGTGCATGTACTCGTAACATGTTTTCGAACTCGAGACCCGTCGACTCGAGGCCGGTCTGCTCGTTGCGGAAAGTTGGTTGGCCGTTGGTCAGCACGAATAATTTATTGGCGCGCCCCTGTGCATGACAGTAGCGTTGCATCGCGCTCTCGGCTTCTCGCGAGCAGCAAAACACACTGCTCTGCCTCGCGTTAATACTCCTGCTGCTAGTAGCTAGTAGCGATTAGCGTACGTTCAGCAAGCACGTACACGGCCATGCAAACTCCAGCAGCTGCTGCGTCCAGGGGCCGTTTGGGAGATTTGAACCGGCCGTATTCTCTTCTCTCTTGATGCTGGCGCTGTGCCATCATGCCATACCGATACCGTTCGTGTGCTGTCGTGCATATACCAAGCTACTATGGGTGCGTAGATGGAAGGCGCGAGCTGATTAGGCAACAGGGTCGAATCAGTTCTAGTTTAGGTACAGGGTGTCAAGTTTTGGGGTGTTACATTGGGTGTTAGTAAACTGTGATACAAATTTAGTAAGCCTAATCAATCCATTATTTGCACATGTGTTACTGTAACATTTATTGTCAAATCATGGACTAATTAGGCTTAAAAGATTTATCAATGTAATCGTAATCTGTGCAATTAGTTATTTTTTTAAGTCTATATTTAATATTCTATATATATGTCAATGTGATAGGGTATAAATTTTTGGGCAACAAACTAAACAAGGTCGAAGTGCAAAGGAGCTTGAATGCGCCTCATTTACTAGCTGGATGGCGGATGCAACGAACTGTCCTCTCACGTATTCAATCGCACATACTCTCCTACATACTGCTGTGTCATCGCTCTCTTGTCATGACAATGAGACAATTCATTGCATGTAGGAGGAGCAGTATGTGTGTATCCAGCCGGTGTCGCGAGCTTAGCAAGCTGGATGTAGTGGACAACATTAAAACTCTTGAGATTAATTTCTGTTCATTACCTGTTCCATGAAAAAGAAAGATACTCACTTGCCAACGCAAACATGTTCATCTGTTTCCCGTGCTAATAACGTTCATCTGTTTCCCGATCATGTATTTCTCTCTTTTTTCTTTTTGATTGAGAAGCTCCTCACCTGCTAACGCAAACATTTCTTATCCCTGTGTCCCTGACATGTAATCCGTACGTGCCCAGTTTTGCGACTGGAATCGACGATTTTTCATATAGGCCTTGATTAGATTTGGGTTAGGAATCAGTATTCAGCACTGTAGCACTTTCGTTTGTATTTAATAATTATTGTCTAATCATGGCCTAACTAGGCTCAAAAGATTCGTCTCGTAATTTACAATCAAACTATGTCATTAGTTATTTTTTATCTACATTTAATACTTTATGCATATATCCAAAGATTTAATGTGATGGAGAGAGAGTGAAAAAATTTACAATCTAAACAAGGCCATAGAGTGTTAATGACAAACAAAGGACTTGTACCTCGCTACAAGCATTTGTTTGTTGTGCTTAACACGGCGCCAAACCTCGGCATCGCGAGGCCCATCTATGTGGCTAGACTCTGCAATTGCCGCCTGCTAGTGTGATTGTGAGCGCCAATGCTATAGCTCTATCTCTATGCATGTCATCAAGCTCTACGTGGTCCTACCTACACTATGCACAAATTTAGTAGACAGACTTATAATTAACAGAGGTAGGAACATAAACCTGTTTTTACCAACATCTCCTCTCAGACCTTGTATTCCAAAATTTTGTATGTCCCAAAACAGAGGTAGGTCTTTTATAGTCGTCTGCGTTAAAAGGCCAAAGGCAGACGGACCCTAGGCTAACAACCATATCTTTAAATCATTTAGAGTGGCGAGTATATTAGAGTGACTATCTTTGTTAATTGATTATTTACAAAGGTGGTCATCTTGATGTCCACCTCTATAAATGATGATTTCTAGAGACGGCTTTCTAACGTTTATAAAGAGACCGGTCTCTAGAAATAGTTATATATAGAAAAAAATATATGTTTTTATGTGGAATCAGATAAAGACAAATTTTACACTAAAATTATAGAACTCAACATAATCTACAACTTTATAGTAGATATTTTTTTATTTAAAACTGTTTAGAGCCCCTACATTTGTTTTAAGTTCTCGTATTTTGAACATTTAAAATCTAGAATTTTCAAATAACCTCGGCTGGTAGCCGATCTTCCCAACCCCCTCGTCTTTCTCTACAGGACGCGTCATCATCTATCCTCTTACGTTAAACTATGAGACAATGAGAGCTTCTCGATCGTTCTTCGACCGTTCCTCGTTTTCCACCTCTGAACTATGCTCGGAGAACGTGGAACAGGTGTGTGGCTGCAAACAATTGTCTAATTATTGGCTTATTGCACGAGTAAGAGTTTACTGGTGGGAGTGTTCGGCTGCCATTATAAGTCGGCTTATAAACCAGTTTATAAGTTATGATACATTATTTTTCTCTCTCAACAAATCAGTCGTACAAATCAGCACCAGCGGCTTTACGAGTAGCCGAAGAGAGCCTAGATAAGCAACGAAGTTCAGAAAAAAACATCCAGTTTGTCTTTTCTTCTTTTGACAAATGTTCGGTTTACCTCAATTAATCTTTTCTAAAATGCTGCTTTTGGAGAATGAAAGAAACAGTACTACACATTTTATTTGACTATCAGTTTGGAGGTTCACAGTACTACATATTGTTTTTGACCATAACACACCAAATTCCTAGTCTCCTACTCCCTCTGGCTCATAAAAACTGTCGCTGGGATTCACGCTGGTCAAACTTTCTTAAGTTTAACTAGTTTTGTAGAAAAACTAGCGACATCTGTATCTCTAAATAAGTTTATTATAAAAATATATTAACGATCTATATAATAATACTAATTATAGCTATGAATATTAATATTTTCTTATATATATTTGATCAAAGCTGACAATGTTTGATATTTCGATAAGTGAGAATGGCACTTTGTATGAGACAGAGGAAGTATGTTTGGAGATGGCTACTAGAAAAAGTGTTTTCAAAGGCGATCCTTTTCTATTTTTATAAAGTCGAGCAGTCCGTCCACCTCTACAAAATGATATATTGCTAGTAAGTCATTTCCAGAGCCGGATATGTTAACCGACCCGTATTTGTAAGTAGCACTTTTAGAAAGCAAAAAGGTTCAAAAATAACAAAATATATTTTTAACCCTAGGGCTCTACTACGCGTATGCAACTCCAACCTACTATTTCATTGCACACTGTGTGAGTGAGTATAGGATGCTATCCTTTTGTATTATTAATATAATATATAAAGAGTTAAATGTACCAGCGGGCCTTAAACTTGTAAGGATGTGTCACATAGGTCCACAAATGTTTGAAAATAAATTATGAGTCTCTAAACGTGTTAAGTAATGCACTACATGTTCATGCCAGCCCTTTGGGCATTTTCTGGTGATGTGGCATGCCACCATGGCATGCATATATTTTTTTACTTTTGACATCATGTTTACTTTTCACTTTGAAAATAGATCCTTCCTTCTACATCTCTTTCCTACTACTCCCTTCCCTACTGCTGCAGAAGGTCGCGTGGCTCCTGGAGTTGTATCATCGTCGTCCATGTTTTTTTCAACGGAAAAATAAATTTGAAAGGTTAAATGTAAAAATACATGCCACTCTCTCTTGCCACATCAACAAGAAATGTCCATGTGGCTGGCATGGACCTGTGGTGCACCATTGAACAAGTTTAGGGGCTTAAAAATACGTTTTCAAAGTTTGTAGACTTATATGATGACTTACCCTTACAAGTTCGAGGACTGTTTGTGCATTCAAGACCCTGTTTGGATCCCATGAGCTAAACTTTATCCTAGGGCTAAAGATTAGCTCTTGAAATGAAGGGGCTAAGATTTGCATACTTAGGACTCGAAACATTGACCATTCACAGATTTGCCGTTGGACCCATATTCATAGGCATAGATGGACCCATTTATCATCCACCCGAGTGGCAACCTAATTAAGGAGTCAATCTTTTGAGTCCCAAATATATAATTTTCTCGCTGTTTGGATACATGACTAAAAGATAAAAGTGAGAGGAGAGAGAAAGAGAGTAAAGTCACCAGTTAGCACTTTTAGCCACCTTGGAGGGCCTAATGGGCTAATGGAAAGCTAAAGATTAGCTCCACCTTTTAGCCCTCATAATTGGATACCCAAGGACTAAAAGATGACTAAAACGGGAGAACTAATCTTTAGCCTCTTGGATCCAAACAGAGCCCAACTCATATAAAAAATTCAATTGTCAAATAATTTGATTTCTTTTTATTTTAGGACAGGGAGTACCATTCTTTCTAGCCGTAGATTATTACCCAGACCTGCCCTGGGCTTCAGTTACAAATTCACAGTTTTTTTTTCTCGAGACATACCTTGGGCCCTTTGGGCTGGAAGGTGGTTCCTTTGATCATCCTTAGGCCAAAGACCGGGCCCTAGGCTTTATAGCGGGCTTTGTGTTTTTCTAGCTGAAATTTTGAGGGACTAAAATGTAACAGAAATAAAATCTGTTTGGGATGGTTTCGTCTCAGTTTTTAGGGGTAGGACAATCCCATTTCTTGTTTGGTTGAGAAAGGACAGAACTGACTCTGTTTTCTGTTTGGTCGTGGGACATTAAAGGGATTTTTGGATTCAGGCCATTACAATTATATGAGTTTGAAGAAACGCCATTACAATTCACCTATTTGAAATTCACCTATTTGGACATCTGCCAT